TGTGTATGAATGGATGAGTTAATACTGACGGACTCTTTACTCAGCAGCCTCTACCATCAGCGTGTGAATGTGTATGAATGGATGAGTTAATACTGACGGACTCTTTACTCAGCAGCCTCTACCATCAGGGTGTGAATGTGTATGAATGGATGAGTTAATACTGACGGACTCTTTACTCAGCAGCCTCTACCATCAGTGTGTGAATGTGTTGGTGTGACCTGCAGTGTAAAAGAGCTTTGAGTCTTTTGGGACTTGGGTTGGGGAACGGAGGGTCGCTGGTTCAAGTCCTGGTGCAGAGCAAGTCTGATAATTGGTCTAGTAGTCTGAGAGGTGCCAGTACACTTCCTGAGCACTGCCGATCCAGTGATGACGTGGAGAAATAGCCGATCAGTGGTGGTCTTGACCGGTCTTTATTTGAAATCCTGAGTCCGCCCAGTCAGAGACCGAGACCTTCAAAAAGTGGTCCTGAGACCAAGACTGATTTGGAGTACTACAACACTAGTGCTTTGTTCTGCACTTTGTGTTTCAGGATCCCTGATACTCTCAGAAATACTACAAACAATGTTTCGTATTCTGTGATGTGACATCTCCACACATGAAGTCGTTTTCTGACTTTAGTTTGAATCATCCGTTTTCACGTCTAAAAGGAAGGTCACCTCTTTTTCTTGACATATACCAAAAACCAAGTCTGCTTATCACTCTTAGATACCACAAATTAAAATGTGTTTTATTATTCATGCTCTCAGACTTTACCCCTGCAGTGTTTGTTCTAAAGCAGAGTTTGTTCTCAGGTTCTCTCTAATACAGTTTCTATCTCCTGATAGTTTTTGTGGGTGGAAACTTGTCTCACAGTGAATATCTTCCACCATCACACATCCACACTAAACCCTGCTACTTCCTTCTTCAAAGTGTCAGATCTTATCCAAGCAGCATCCTCCGGTGTTGACGAATGAAGCCGATGCAAAACAACAACCTGCAGTTCCTCGGGTGTCCACTCGAGGCTGGCTGCAGAAAAGCACATGAAGTCACATACACACCCATACTAAAAAAGCCTGTTTACATTTTTGAGTCTTTAAAATGATTACAGTTGGATAGAATCGTGATCAGATGATTTTTAGACGTTGAGATATGTTGAGGTTTTTATTTTTTCTTCTGAAAGTTATGAATGTTGATGGTTGTTCCTGATGTGCTCTGTGTTTCAGCGGTTCAGGATCTCTGGGATGTGACGTACTCTTCTGTGTGGATCTGTGCCCGTAAAGGATTGACTGTGGAGATGAGCTGCACCTTTCCATACCCAGAGGGAATAAACGAGGAAGTTAACACACTTCAGGAAACATTTTGGTCTACTGATTATCCTGAATATAAAGTGGATGTTAAAGAAGACTCCAAGTATTCAGGCCGTGTGCAGAATACCTGTGTGGGGAACAACTGTACTCTGAGAATCACAGACGTGAGAGAGACAGACACGGCTTACTACAGGTTCATATTGAAAACAAACATCAGCAGATATTTAAGTAGATCTGGGGTCATCCTGACTCTCACAGGTAATATTTCACACTTTATTCTCTGAGCTCACAGTTTATAATATGTTGTATATTAATGTATTTACTACATGTTTGTGTGCTGATATTTCTACACATGTTCAGATCTCCAGGTGCAGGTGATCAGACTTGCGGCTGGACTCTTCTTTATGTGTCTCAACGGATGTTCTAAAGAAACCATCTGGTTCAAGAATGGAGAGGAAATCAAAGATGAAACATCAGATCTTTATTCATCAGAGCAGGTTCTTCAGACAGACAGTTATTCCTGTGCTGTACGAGGACATGAGAAGTTCCCGTCTCCTCCAGTGTGTGAGTTTATTTACAGTCTTCACTGATTCACAATAGGGCTGCAACTAACGATTATTTTGATAATCGATTAATCGGTTAATTATTTTTCTGATTAATCGATGAATCGGATTTAAAAAAAAACATTTTGAATTTCCACACGTTTATTCAAAAACAGAACATTAGTTCATTGACAGGGCAAACAAAAGTGCAAAAACAACAGGTTACTGCTTGGACGTCTCCATGAGCTTTCTGAAATGGGTCCTTGAGGGAAGAGTGTAGCCAGGGTTTAAGGTGGGGATCATTGTAGTGAAGTTGCATCTTTATTTTCAACCATCGTCAGAGGCCTCGTGTCAGCGACGAGCATGTTGAGGATGCTATCTGTCAAGACGGATGCTTCTTGTGGTGTACATGATGTTTTCTGCAATAACAAAGATAGTATTAATATGTAAAACAGCACAATTTACATCTAATCAATATGCCTTGTTGTTTTAGTTATGAATTTATTGTTATGTAAAAGTAAGTAAGTAACCCAAAGAGCACTTGCAGAGACAACACACGTTTTTATAATATGTATTAATTTACATCAATACAGGTACCCTAAAAACTTATTTACACAAATTTAATTAAGTGTCTAAATGCACTTGCATACAGTGCAGTGTATTAACTCTCACCTTATTACAGAAAATTAAGCTTAATCATCAAATTATTAAATCATTGTAGTAAGTACATTGTTTTTTAATTGTTTATTGACAGCAAGCTGACAAAGTGCTTTAAAACATTTTTAAAATAAAATAAAATGTAAATCACACACCTACACAAATATATTCCAACGTCAACAGAAAATAATATGGGAAAACAGCAAAGAATATATCTGACAACGTATTGAAAGTGGGCCTAAAAGGCAAAATAATAAAGTTTTCTTTAGTCTAAGGTTGTTTGGAGTTGGCAAAGTAAAAAGTTTTCTGTACCGCGTCATTAACCAGCTAACGTTAAACGTTAACGTTAAAGCACCAGCCGAGCAACCGGAGAGACTAACGTTACATTTTCTTACTTGAAAACAGAACAACCATGGGATTTTGTAGTGACTTACCCTGCTGTCGAGCTCCCTTCCTAGTCAGCGATGACTCCGACATGTTTACTTTTCAGGTGCTGCATCATCACTGTGGTGCTCCCGTGCCGCGCCGTATCGCTATTGCAAAGCTTCAACTAACTCTTGTTTTTATGCATCGTGAAGTGCTCCCACACTTTAGAAGATTTCGGTTGAACCGTTCTCTCCGCTCTGCTGTGTTTAATATCTGAAATACCAGCTCCACTCTCTCACGCTGTAGCTCCGCCACGCTGTGCTGTCGGCATGTCAACAGTTCGGCGTGCACGTCACCACAGTCTGCGACATAGGGAGTGACGCATTAATCGTGCAACGCAACGAATCGATAATGAAATTCGTTGCCAACACTTTTATTAATCGATTTTTATTGATTCGTTGTTGCAGCACTAATTCACACCTTCACACGGAGCCTTTAAAGGTCCAATCAGTGAGATGTGTAGAGAGTGAGATGATAAAGGTATCTTACTATCTAATCAGACATGAAGGAAACATGCTATGTTGAAGTGCTGGCTTCTCTGACAACAATGCAGCAGCCAGTATGTCCTCCTTCTAACTTTACATTCTGCTCCTGAATGCTCTGGATTTGTTTGGACCAGATAAAGTAGGCGCTTTTAAGACACCCCCACACGGCCGTTTTGGATGCCTCTCGGTTTGTCAGATATGAGAGCAGTTATCAGGTCAAACCAACAGGTGTTGCAGCGATGGAAGTGTAACACCGGGAAGGTTGCGGTAGAAATGAATTGAAGTTATTTGTTCTTTTAAAAAGAGGACGTTTTCCTTCTGATCTCAGTGATGACGTGGAGAAATAGCCGATCAGTGGTGGTCTTGACCGGTCTTTATTTGAAATCCTGAGACTGAGACCTTCAAAAAGTGGTCCTGAGACCAAGACTGATTTGGAGTACTACAACACTAGTGCTTTGTTCTGCACTTTGTGTTTCAGGATCCCTGATACTCTCAGAAATACTACAAACACTGTCTCGTATTCTGTGATGTGACGTCTCCACACATGAAGTCGTTTTCTGACTTTAGTTTGAATCATCCGTTTTCACGTCTAAAAGGAAGGTCACCTCTTTTTCTTGACATATACCAAAAACCAAGTCTGCTTATCACTCTTAGATACCACAAATTAAAATGTGTTTTATTATTCATGCTCTCAGACTTTACCCCTGCAGTGTTTGTTCTAAAGCAGAGTTTGTTCTCAGGTTCTCTCTAATACAGTTTCTATCTCCTGATAGTTTTTGTGGGTGGAAACTTGTCTCACAGTGAATATCTTCCACCATCACACATCCACACTAAACCCTGCTACTTCCTTCTTCAAAGTGTCAGATCTTATCCAAGCAGCATCCTCCGGTGTTGACGAATGAAGCCGATGCAAAACAACAACCTGCAGTTCCTCGGGTGTCCACTAGAGGCTGGCTGCAGAAAAGCACATGAAGTCACATACACACCCATACTAAAAAAGCCTGTTTACATTTTTGAGTCTTTAAAATGATTACAGTTGGATAGAATCGTGATCAGATGATTTTCAGACGTTGAGATATGTTGAGGTTTTTATTTTTTCTTCTGAAAGTTATGAATGTTGATGATTGTTCCTGATGTGCTCTGTGTTTCAGCGGTTCAGGATCTCTGGGATGTGACGTACTCTTCTGTGTTGATCTGTGCCCGTAAAGGATCGACTGTGGAGATGAGCTGCACCTTTCCATACCCAGAGGGAATAAACGAGGAAGTTAACACACTTCAGGAAACATTTTGGTCTACTGATGATCCTGAATATAAAGTGGATGTTAAAGAAGACTCCAAGTATTCAGGCCGTGTGCAGAATACCTGTGTGGGGAACAACTGTACTCTGAGAATCACAGACGTGAGAGAGACAGACAGGGCTTACTACAGGTTCATATTGAAAACAAACATCAGCAGATATTTAATTAGATCTGGGGTCGTCCTGACTGTCACAGGTAATATTTCACACTTTATTCTCTGAGCTCACAGTTTATAATATGTTGTATATTAATGTATTTACTACATGTTTGTGTGCTGATATTTCTACACATGTTCAGATCTCCAGGTGCACGTGATCAGACATGAGGCTGTATCCCTCTTTAAATGTGTCAACAGATGTCCTGGTGAAACCTCCTTCATCTGGTTCAAGAATGGAGAGGAAATCAAAGATGAAACATCATCTCTTTATTCATCAGAGCAGGTTCTTCAGACAGACAGTTATTCCTGTGCTGTACGAGGACATGAGAAGTTCCCGTCTCCTCCAGTGTGTGAGTTTATTTACAGTCTTCACTGATTCACAATAGGGCTGCAACTAACGATTATTTTGATAATCGATTAATAGGTTAATTATTTTTCTGATTAATCGATGAATCGGATTTAAAAAAAAACATTTTGAATTTCCACACGTTTATTCAAAAACAGAACATTAGTTCATTGACAGGGCAAACAAAAGTGCAAAAACAACAGGTTACTGCTTGGACGTCTCCATGAGCTTTCTGAAATGGGTCCTTGAGGGAAGAGTGTAGCCAGGGTTTAAGGTGGGGATCATTGTAGTGAAGTTGCATCTTTATTTTCAACCATCGTCAGAGGCCTCGTGTCAGCGACGAGCATGTTGAGGATGCTATCTGTCAAGACGGATGCTTCTTGTGGTGTACATGATGTTTTCTGCAATAACAAAGATAGTATTAATATGTAAAACAGCACAATTTACATCTAATCAATATGCCTTGTTGTTTTAGTTATGAATTTATTGTTATGTAAAAGTAAGTAAGTAACCCAAAGAGCACTTGCAGAGACAACACACGTTTTTATAATATATATTTATTTACATCAATACAGGTACCCTAAAAACTTATTTACACAAATGTAATTAAGTGTCTAAATGCACTTGCATACAGTGCAGTGTATTAACTCTCACCTTATGACAGAAAATTAAGCTTAATCATCAAATTATTAAATCATTGTAGTAAGTACATTGTTTTTTAATTGTTTATTGACAGCAAGCTGACAAAGTGCTCCGTTTTCAACTAACTCTTGTTTTTATGCATCGTGAAGTGCTCCCACACTTTAGAAGATTTCGGTTGAACCGTTCTCTCCGCTCTGCTGTGTTTAATATCTGAAATACCAGCTCCACTCTCTCACGCTGTAGCTCCGCCACGCTGTGCTGTCGGCATGTCAACAGTTCGGCGTGCACGTCACCACAGTCTGCGACATAGGGAGTGACGCATTAATCGCGCAACGCAACGAATCGATAATGAAATTTGTTGCCAACACTTTTATTAATCGATTTTTATTGATTCGTTGTTGCAGCACTAATTCACACCTTCACACGGAGCCTTTAAAGGTCCAATCAGTGAGATGTGTAGAGAGTGAGATGATAAAGGTATCTTACTATCTAATCAGACATGAAGGAAACATGCTATGTTGAAGTGCTGGCTTCTCTGACAACAATGCAGCAGCCAGTATGTCCTCCTTCTAACTTTACATTCTGCTCCTGAATGCTCTGGATTTGTTTGGACCAGATAAAGTAGGCGCTTTTAAGACACCCCCACACGGCCGTTTTGGACGCCCTCGGTTTGTCAGATATGAGAGCAGTTATCAGGTCAAACCAACAGGTGTTGCAGCGATGGAAGTGTAACACCGGGAAGGTTGCGGCCGTAACCGGGGAAGAAAAAATCAAACTAGAAATGAATTGAAGCAGCATCCTCCAGGTGCACGTGATCAGACATGAGGCTGTATCCCTCTTTAAATGTGTCAACAGATGTCCTGATGAGACCTCCTTCATCTGGTTCAAGAATGGAGAGGAAATCAAAAATGAAACATCAGATCTTTATTCATCAGAGCAGGTTCTTCAGACAGACAGTTATTCCTGTGCTGTACGAGGACATGAGAAGTTCCCGTCTCCTCCAGTGTGTGAGTTTATTTACAGTCTTCACTGATTCACAATAGGGCTGCAACTAACGATTATTTTGATAATCGATTAATCGGTTAATTATTTTTCTGATTAATCGATGAATCGGATTTAAAAAAAAACATTTTGAATTTCCACACGTTTATTCAAAAACAGAACATTAGTTCATTGACAGGGCAAACAAAAGTGCAAAAACAACAGGTTACTGCTCGGACGTCTCCATGAGCTTTCTGAAATGGGTCCTTGAGGGAAGAGTGTAGCCAGGGTTTAAGGTGGGGATCATTGTAGTGAAGTTGCATCTTTATTTTCAACCATCGTCAGAGGCCTCGTGTCAGCGACGAGCATGTTGAGGATGCTATCTGTCAAGACGGATGCTTCTTGTGGTGTACATGATGTTTTCTGCAATAACAAAGATAGTATTAATATGTAAAACAGCACAATTTACATCTAATCAATATGCCTTGTTGTTTTAGTTATGAATTTATTGTTATGTAAAAGTAAGTAAGTAACCCAAAGAGCACTTGCAGAGACAACACACGTTTTTATAATATATATTTATTTACATCAATACAGGTACCCTAAAAACTTATTTACACAAATGTAATTAAGTGTCTAAATGCACTTGCATACAGTGCAGTGTATTAACTCTCACCTTATTACAGAAAATTAAGCTTAATCATCAAATTATTAAATCATTGTAGTAAGTACATTGTTTTTTAATTGTTTATTGACAGCAAGCTGACAAAGTGCTTTAAAACATTTTTAAACTAAAATAAAATGTAAAACACACACCTACACAAATATATTCCAACGTCAACAGAAAATAATATGGGAAATAAGCAAAGAATATATCTGACAACGTATTGAAAGTGGGCCTAAAAGGCAAAATAATAAAGTTTTCTTTAGTCTAAGGTTGTTTGGAGTTGGCAAAGTAAAAAGTTTTCTGTACCGCGTCATTAACCAGCTAACGTTAAACGTTAACGTTAAAGCACCAGCCGAGCAACCGGAGAGACTAACGTTACATTTTCTTTCTTGAAAACAGAACAACCATGGGATTTTGTAGTGACTTACCCTGCTGTCGAGCTCCCTTCCTAGTCAGCGATGACTCCGACATGTTTACTTTTCAGGTGCTGCATCATCACTGTGGTGCTCCCGTGCCGCGCCGTATCGCTATTGCAAAGCTTCAACTAACTCTTGTTTTTATGCATCGTGAAGTGCTCCCACACTTTAGAAGATTTCGGTTGAACCGTTCTCTCCGCTCTGCTGTGTTTAATATCTGAAATACCAGCTCCACTCTCTCACGCTGTAGCTCCGCCACGCTGTGCTGTCGGCATGTCAACAGTTCGGCGTGCACGTCACCACAGTCTGCGACATAGGGAGTGACGCATTAATCGCGCAACGCAACGAATCGATAATGAAATTTGTTGCCAACACTTTTATTAATCGATTTTTATTGATTCGTTGTTGCAGCACTAATTCACACCATCACACGGAGCCTTTAAAGGTCCAATCAGTGAGATGTGTAGAGAGTGAGATGATAAAGGTATCTTACTATCTAATCAGACATGAAGGAAAACATGCTATGTTGAAGTGCTGGCTTCTCTGACAACAATGCAGCAGCCAGTATGTCCTCCTTCTAACTTTACATTCTGCTCCTGAATGCTCTGGATTTGTTTGGACCAGATAAAGTAGGCGCTTTTAAGACACCCCCACACGGCCGTTTTGGACGCCCTCGGTTTGTCAGATATGAGAGCAGTTATCAGGTCAAACCAACAGGTGTTGCAGCGATGGAAGTGTAACACCGGGAAGGTTGCGGCCGTAACCGGGGAAGAAAAAATCAAACTAGAAATGAATTGAAGTTATTTGTTCTTTTAAAAAGAGGACGTTTTCCTTCTGATCTCAGTGATGACGTGGAGAAATAGCCGATCAGTGGTGGTCTTGACCGGTCTTTATTTGAAATCCTGAGACTGAGACCTTCAAAAAGTGGTCCTGAGACCAAGACTGATTTGGAGTACTACAACACTAGTGCTTTGTTCTGCACTTTGTGTTTCAGGATCCCTGATACTCTCAGAAATACTACAAACACTGTCTCGTATTCTGTGATGTGACGTCTCCACACATGAAGTCGTTTTCTGACTTTAGTTTGAATCATCCGTTTTCACGTCTAAAAGGAAGGTCACCTCTTTTTCTTGACATATACCAAAAACCAAGTCTGCTTATCACTCTTAGATACCACAAATTAAAATGTGTTTTATTATTCATGCTCTCAGACTTTACCCCTGCAGTGTTTGTTCTAAAGCAGAGTTTGTTCTCAGGTTCTCTCTAATACAGTTTCTATCTCCTGATAGTTTTTGTGGGTGGAAACTTGTCTCACAGTGAATATCTTCCACCATCACACATCCACACTAAACCCTGCTACTTCCTTCTTCAAAGTGTCAGATCTTATCCAAGCAGCATCCTCCGGTGTTGACGAATGAAGCCGATGCAAAACAACAACCTGCAGTTCCTCGGGTGTCCACTCGAGGCTGGCTGCAGAAAAGCACATGAAGTCACATACACACCCATACTAAAAAAGCCTGTTTACATTTTTGAGTCTTTAAAATGATTACAGTTGGATAGAATCGTGATCAGATGATTTTCAGACGTTGAGATATGTTGAGGTTTTTATTTTTTCTTCTGAAAGTTATGAATGTTGATGGTTGTTCCTGATGTGCTCTGTGTTTCAGCGGTTCAGGATCTCTGGGATGTGACGTACTCTTCTGTGTTGATCTGTGCCCGTAAAGGATCGACTGTGGAGATGAGCTGCACCTTTCCATACCCAGAGGGAATAAACGAGGAAGTTAACACACTTCAGGAAACATTTTGGTCTACTGATTATCCTGAATATAAAGTGGATGTTAAAGAAGACTCCAAGTATTCAGGCCGTGTGCAGAATACCTGTGTGGGGAACAACTGTACTCTGAGAATCACAGACGTGAGAGAGACAGACACGGCTGTATACAGGTTCATATTGAAAACAAACATCAGCAGATATTTAAGTAGATCTGGGGTCATCCTGACTGTCACAGGTAATATTTCACACTTTATTCTCTGAGCTCACAGTTTATAATATGTTGTATATTAATGTATTTACTACATGTTTGTGTGCTGATATTTCTACACATGTTCAGATCTCCAGGTGCACGTGATCAGACTTGCGGCTCGACTCTTCTTTTTGTGTCTCAACGGATGTTCTGATGAAACCATCTGGTTCAAGAATGGAGAGGAAATCAAAAATGAAACATCATCTCTTTATTCATCAGAGCAGGTTCTTCAGACAGACAGTTATTCCTGTGCTGTACGAGGACATGAGAAGTTCCCGTCTCCTCCAGTGTGTGAGTTTATTTACAGTCTTCACTGATTCACACCTTCACACGGAGCCTTTAAAGGTCCAATCAGTGAGATGTGTAGAGAGTGAGATGATAAAGTGAGCTTACTATCTGATCAGACATTAAGGAAACATGCTATGTTGAAGTGCTGGCTTCTCTGACAACAATGCAGCAGCCAGTATGTCAGTAATGATCAAATGATCCGCTCAAACGGTCGGTTCGACTAACTTAACGATAGCAACGTCACAGCCTGCTGTAGTCTCAGTTAGGGCTGCACGATATTGAGAAAAAAATGACATTTCAATATTTTTGTTTCCTGCGATATATGTTAACTGCTTCACTCTGTTCAGCTGAATTCTCCCTGAAATGATGATTACACAGACACACACACAGAGAGAGAGAGAGAGAGAGAGAGAGAGGAGAGAGAGAGAGAGAGAGAGAGAGAGAGAGAGAGAGAGAGAGAGACAGAGAGAGACAGAGAGAGAGAGAGAGAGAGAGAGAGAGAGAGAGAACACACACAGGCTGAGCAGACGCACAATGGATCACAGAGTTTGTCCTCCTCCTGCGTTTTGACTTTTTTGTAGTCTTGAGTAATCAGCTGCCAGAGATGTGAATCAATGAAGAGTAATGTTTAGAGACATTTCTAGAACAAGCACAATGCATTTTGTGAAGATGGTCCACCTCGGAAAGAGAAAAATTGTGATTTCTGCAGGAAGCAAAGCAAACTTTAAGCAACGGATTACTTCGACATTAAACTACCACTGTTTCAAGTTTTATGGCAGCTCATGGAATCATAAGGCGTGGGAAGGAGGACGTGAAATAAACAATAAAATGGGCTATCAGAAGATCGAAACTTAGACCTCCAAAACAAAACCGAGAGCCCGTTCTGACTGAAGACAAAGTTGAAGGCACAGATCTGGAGGCCGCTGCCTTTAACCCTGAAAGTGTTAAATAAAGCCCCTTATGTGATATTAACTAAAGCAAACTGTCAGATTGTATAAATCCCTGCTCCTCTCCGCTCACATTCACCGCTCTCTCTCTCTCAGTCGCTCGACCACTCACGCTGCACGTCGCTCTGCCCGGCCCTGATAACAGCAGGTGAGATGACAGAGCGCTGAGAAGGTGTTCTCACTATGAGAGTTGTTGCATAATGTGGTAAAAGATATAAATATATACTCATTTAGATCTATCAGTAATGTGAACGGGCTTAGACAGGATACATAAACTTCATTGAAAGGCTCAAATATGTTTTTTGGCTCCAGACAGATTTGTTTTTTCTTCACATCGCATATCCTTGCGTGTGAGTATTGCGCATGCGCACATCTCGATGACGATGCTGAAACGATATATCGTGCAGCCCTAGTCTCAGTCAGTCTGTGAACTTGTCCATTCAGACTCTGTGAAACAGCGCTGCGTTAAACACTGCAGATATAGTGCACGCTAAATGCACGCTCCACTTTTCTCTTCCATCAGGTGCAGCAGGAGCAGTCAGAGATAAACACGTCCAATAACAAACAGGCTGATTGTATTCAGTGTCTAATATTTTCAAAGCTAAATCAAGAGAAAAATTGTTTTGAGGAATAATAATTTAATTAAATATTATTATCAAATAAAAATTCTCTGTTGGATTTTAGTTATTAGTCTATAATGTTATAATGCAGGGGGGGTCTGGGCACTGCTACCTTTAAAACAATAAAGGCGAGCAAATATATATATATTTTTACAATTTCTCAATTTCCTGATCTGTGTCAGGAAAACAGGAAAGTGGGACACAGGTGCGGACCCAGGGGTGTCTTAAAGTTTTCCAAGAAGGATAACACAAAAGCGATAGATTGGAGGGGGGGTAGGGAACAATGAAAATAGTCTAGAGCCAAAACATTCCTCTAACTAATGCACAGAAAATGATCAACTAAACCACTGCTGCCAGGCAGCTGACTCAAAACTAAATTGACCGGGAGACCCAGAAACAATTCACGAAAGTAAAGGCTGCCAGGAAGGCCTTCAAACTCAACACAAAAGGCTGGGGTATATCAACTACCCAGCACCCCAAGTTACTTTGGTAATAGACACAAATACACAGGAAGTTATTTGTTGGTGTTTATGAACACACAGACAACAAGAGACACCACAGGGAGAAGCTCTCACTACCTCTGAAGGTGAGATAATGAGTCAGCACAGAACACTGACCTCCAGGAGTATATAGAAGCTCCCCACACCTGGTTTTAATCAAGGCCAATCAGCCACAAACACACCTGACTCTGCACTTAGGTGATTCATTCACCAACCCCAGTGAGAAGCCAGAGAGTGTGTCCTTACAATCTGATAAAATTATTCAATCTGTGATTTAAATATCTTGATTCAACAGAACATAATGCCTTCTTAATTAAATGTACTGTAACAGATGTGTATGCGACACAAAAACACTATTTGTTTAATTTTGTGTCGGAAAGGACACTGGAATACTCACATTATGTTAATTTCAGAAATGACACTGTCTCTCTGACACTACCTTCTGGGCTTCACGGCTATCAGACTTATGTGCTAGCATATTTGAAAGTCCGGCCTCCACGGTGTCTATCAAGAAAAAAGCTGGCCCTTGTGCAAATGTAGTTGATGACCCCTGCAGTATGTCCTCCTTCTAACTTTAGATTCTGGTCCTGAATGCTCTGGATTTGTTTGCACATCATTTTATGAAACTTGCATCTAAAGGGTTAAAATCCTGAAAATAATTGAATATTTGATAGTTTTGATTAGGACTGAAGTTGATTGAAAGATTTAACCCCAAAAAAGTGGAAAAAAAACATTGTTCTAATTATCTTCACAGCTGTTTTAGGGAGCGGATATTTCTGTCAACGAGTGGCTCAAGAGGGTAGTAAATTTGTACTCAGTGTATCATAGAACTATTCAAAAAAATAAATTGGAATTTCAAAATGTATCATGCCATATGCACTAACACAGTCAAAGTGATTGTTAAAGGAAACTGAAAAATTCATTGAGTGATACCAGAGGGTTAAATGGTACCTCCATTTTCATATGTGCAGGTTATCAGAGAGTTTCCTGATTATCTGTCTCACTGTTACATTTTTCTGCAAATATAAAAACTTTTATTCAGCAGGTATGATCGTCAGTTTCAGAACCAAAGCTGTTCAATATAACACGTCCACCTTCATCTGATGTGAGGTCTCTCTGATTCTCCTCCAGATGCTCCAAAGCCTCCTTCTGTGTCAGTGAGTTCCCACGATGAGATAGTGGAGGGCACTTCAGTCAATCTGACCTGTAGCAGTGATGCTAACCCAGCAGCTAATTACACCTGGTACAAGGCGGATGGACCTCTAAACCCTAATCACACATATCCAGGAGCTACGCTTGTCTTCAGCTCCATCGAGTCCTCTGACTTTGGGGAGTTTTACTGTGAAGCTGAGAACACGCTGGGGAGAACGACCTCCAAACGCATCTCTGTCAACCTAACATGTGAGTCAAACACTCATCATTAAATAGAGTGAGATGAAGCTACTGCTCTACCAACCAAGCTGAAGTGTTAAATCCTGCAGTTCCTCGACTGTCCACTAGAGGCTGGCTACAGAAGAACAGGAAGTCACATACACACCCATTCTAAAAAGCCTGTTTTTACAGCAGAGATGAACATGTTTACAGCCTGGTTCAAAAAACCAAATAGGTGTGATTAGCTCATGTCTCGATGGACACACACTGTACGGGGGGTGAATGTTTTGATGACTCAGTTTTGATTTGATGAAGGATAAGAGTTATTCACAATAAGGCGTGTAGCTGACTGATTGACAGGTGGGCGCGTGTAACGGTTTGTCAGGAGGTTTAAAACCTCAGCTCCAGCTCTCAGCCGGTCGTTAGGTTGACTGAAAGTTAGACTGAGACAGCATTTCCAGCATGGAGACCGCCATCGATGGGACTCCAGCGCCCCCTGCAGGAACAGAGGGGGACGTCACTCAGGCTTCAAACATTCATATTTACAGTCCATTCTACCGACCTACCAAGAACAATCACCCAAACCACCAACTCTTAAAGTGCTTCCACACTTTACACAAAACTGAAAACCTCCTGAAGTGTTCAGGCTGAGAGGTGCAAACCAGATCAGGAGGATATCAGGAGCAATCTTCCTGAAATGAAATTTTTCTGTCTAATCCTTCCAGTGAAGTGTCTCACATATCGCTCTTTCATTCTTAGGGAACTCACTAAAAATCATCACCAGGTGGACTCTGCTGCTCCTCTTGTTGAGTCCTCTGATTCCCCTGACTCTGTGGCTGAGGTAAAACCATCAACATTCATTCTGTTGTTGATGACTCCCATCATGTTAAACTGGAATTTATTGTTTTATGATTTAACCCAGGTGGAAGAAAACTGTGAACTCCACCACTGAACCAGACGAACCTGCAGAGATGATCGAGGTAAGAGAGAGAGAGAGAGAGAGAGACAGAGAGAGAGAGAGACAGAGAGAGACAGAGAGAGAGAGAGAGAGACAGACAGAGAGAGACAGACAGAGAGAGACAGAGAGAGAGAGAGACAGACAGAGAGAGACAGAGAGAGAGAGAGAGAGAGAGAGATACAGATAGAGAGGGAGCGAGAGAGAGAGAGACAGGGAGAGAGAGACAGAGAGAGAGAGAGAGAGACAGAGAGAGAGAGAGTGACAGAGAGAGAGAGACAGAGAGACAGCGAGAGAGAGAGAGAGAGAGAGCGAGAGAAGGAGAGAGAGAGAGAAAGAGTGAGAGAGAGAGAAAAAGAGAGAGAGAGACAGAGAGAGAGAAGAGAGAGAGCGAGGGAGAGAGAGAGAGAGACAGAGAGAGAGAAAGAGAAAAGAGAGAGAGAGAGAGAGAGAGAGAGAGAGCGAGGAGAGAGAGAGAGAGACAGAGAGAGAAAAAGAGAGAGAGAGAGAGAGAGAGAGGTCTTACTGACTTTCTCTCCATCATTGATGAAATATATTTCTGATCAAATCTCATCCTCTGCCCTCAGTTAAATGTCGTGTATGAGAACGTGTCGGCCGTCACTGCAGCACAGACAGAAGCTGGAGAAGGAGATGAATGACGAGACGAGACGAGAGGAGACGAGAGGAGACGAGAGGAGAGGAGACGAGAGGAGCCGAGACGAGAGGAGACGAGAGGAGACGAGAGGAGACGAGACGAGACGAGACGAGAGGAGACGAGACGAGAGGAGACGAGACGAGACGAGACGAGACGAGAGAGACGAGAGGAGACGAGAGGAGACGAGAGGAGAGGAGACGAGAGGAGCCGAGACGAGAGGAGACGAGACGAGACGAGACGAGAGGAGACGAGACGAGACGAGACGAGAGGAGACGAGACGAGACGAGAGGAATGGAAAGGAGGAGACGAGACGAGACGAGACGAGACGAGACGAGACGAGATGAGATGAGAGGAGACGAGACGATTGGAAACGAGACGATTGGAGACCATTAAATTTCTGCTTTATATGTATGTATATATACTTATGAGATCAAATGTGACTGAAGAACCTGATTCTGGTGTTAATACGACCTAAAATACTCAAATTAAGTAACAGCTGTCTAAATGAATTTTCAGAGAATATTTGTAAGGTGGAGCGCTACTGCCATCTAGTGTTTGTTTTCTTTGTGGACATGTAAGTACCTATAATCACATATATATTTAGACCATGTGAGGCTCAGATGATCTGTTATAACTATAGATATGATGTGTTCGTTAGGAATTACTATTTCCATATTTCATAGTTCTGTTTTATGACTTCATAAGTTTGTTACTGCTTAATACATTGTTTTCTTGTCTAACAGATTATATGAGAAAAGTATTCTACTAATTGTTAGATTACTCTTGCAATGTCGAAACTCAGAATACTCATTTTTAGTTAAGGTATGGTGACGTTATACGTGTTTAAAGGCTGAATATTCAACATTTTACACATAAATGTAGCAGAAATCCAGTATATCCTTAAAAAACCTCTGTGAGTCATGACTGTCTACAATGAGTGTGACACCCGAGTCCCACTGTCTGTGATGATGTCAGAGCCGTATCTACAACGTGTTGACATGGACGGGACGGCCGGCCGGCTCCTCCCCTCGTGTATAAAAGTTGTTTAATTGAGGGACTAGAGAAAAGAAGAATACATACTGTACTCACTGATTATTTGAATGTCACTTAAGCTTTTTTAGATCACGGTCATTTCTTGTAAATTTACATGCGGTGTGAAGCTACGAGCTACTTAGCATGCTAACAACGATGCAGCG